CCGACCTACAGCCCTGTTACCAGCCCTGTGTGTCAGGCACAATTGAACTTTCACCATGGTCTTGACTCTGAGACGTTGTGGCTGTCAAACGTTGCATACAAGCCATTCTTCCACAGCTACAAATACGGGTGCTTAACATGAAAACCTTAAAACCCTACAGTTAGCTCAACTAACATACTTTACTTACAAACACCCTGGAAATGAGGAGCTTCCAGCGCCTAGGCAGGTTTCAGAGCTGGATGGCAGAGAATACTAAAATGTTTCTTATTATAATGAATGGTTGATGTGAGTTCAGCTGCCCAGGGCTGCTGGCCAGTGGAAAGGGGCGGTTAAAGGAAACAGGTGGAAAAGTAGAGATAAACCTTGGAGATGATCGGGCAAGCCAGGGGCCAAGGGCTTAACCTTGAGGAAACGGACTATTGGAACAAGCGCGAGGCCTTCGTGGCTCAAAGTTTTTAGAGGGAGCAGAAAAAGGAGACGGTGAAGGATGATGAGGAGAAGGAGTTTAGTTAGAAACTAAAATTAGGAGGGAATCGAAAAGAGATAACAAGACGGGAAAAAAAAAAATGAGCATCTATACTGGTCCAAAAATTGGACGTAGGAGAATCACATGGGCTCTCTCTTGTCCTGGCAACCTTTCCCCCAGGTGATGCCTGTGCGTTGCTGGCTACCTATAATCCAGAGCACTGGGTTCGAAGGCAAATTCACTTGATGCTACCGGGAAGTACTTTAAAGCTTTCTACGGACCAACTGAACCTTTGCCCCAGTTTCCGGGCTTATCCATGGAAACTGGATCCCCGCTGTGCAAGTGGCTCGCTGGGCTGTCACTCAAGCTCTCCCCCGCCCCCGCCTCCCCACCCACCTCCGCCCCCGTCTTCCTAGCTTATTTTATCCAATTGAGTCTTAGTATCTCAGGACTCTCGTCTATTTTCTTTGAAAAGCCGTCTTAGATCTAGCCGAATCGTGGTTCCGAGGAGACCATATGCTGATTACTGCATGTCTCTTACAGACCCAAGTTACAGGAAATATTTCTATACCCCGGTGGTGGGTGGCATCCTGTTTGGGAAGAAAACGCTTATTGGAGAAAATACCAAGAAATGTAACTTTCTGAATAGAGCAGCAACATCTTATCATATTCCTCTCTGCACTTTTTCCTAACAATCTCTGAGTTATACCAGTGGAGTAAGACAAGAGAAAACCAACTTCAAGCTACCCCTAAAAGAGGGAGGAACAGAATCATGTTCTTCTAACCCTTAGTAAACAATTGCTCTATCTATTAAAACTCAAGCATAAAAACATAAGATAAAACCCTCAGGGGACACCCCATTATTACTGACTATAATCTGAATAGAAAATGAGACAGGAAACAACACCGGTAACAAAATAATATTTACTATCTACAGGAAGCTCATCTGATAGAGGAACCCAGCAAATCAGAACCCTCGGTGTGAAGTACGAGGTGAAAGAAGCTAATGAACCTGTAACGGCAATAGCCTCACTAGTTGCTCTGTGAAGCAGAGATCAGATTTTCAGGCCATGGGCATCACATCGCTGTGTCTGTGCATACAGCCTCTTGAAGGACGCTCAGTCAAGTCACGGGCTTCCTCTACAACCAAGAACAGCTACTGGAAAACATGATTAACCGCCACTTCCACGATCTTTGGGACAGCCCCACCCCCACCCCCAACAAATGTGGCTTCTGGTGCCTGTGGAGGGGTCGCCAAAAACATGTGCATTCAGCCAAGTGAAGAATTTCACACTTAACCCGAGCCGTGACTGTGAGTACTTCCAACTTCCAGCAGCTTTGCAAGCCTTATAATTCTGTTATTCTTTAAGGAGTCCCTATTAAATTCTAAATGCTTCAGAGATTAAAAGGGTATATGAACGGTATTAAAAATTTGAGATCAAATGGCATGCCTCGCAGGGTATCTTTGCATTTAATGAAAACATTTCCATCACAGGTCTAAGGCTATTATGACAGATCTTCATTTCAGAAGTTGTAAGATTATCTTATTTTAATTAGAAGAGATGGAGCAAGTATATTAGAGTAATACAGTTAAATATATTCATCAACTCCTTGTCAGTTAAAAGGCCTCCTTCAGACTTGGTTATGGCAATGTGCTATCGCAGGTGTGAGCAGAATTCTGCATAGACATTCAAAATGACTTCCAGAGAGGCTAAGATGATGAGGCTGTTGTTTTCTAAGGAGCCCCTCTATAACAATACATAATCCTGAGCAAGAGCGGCGCTGCCCCACACAATATCCACTGTCAAATACAACGACTGAGCATTCTTGTTGTGTCTAGTTTGGAATGAAACATTATTTCACATCAGTTATTTGGGTTGAATAAAACGCACTATTAAAGCCACCCTCACCAGTTGCTTTTTACTTCTCTTTAAATGTGGCAGTCAGGATATTTTAAACTTGGTGTATAAGGTACGTGGCATTTCTATTAGACATAGTACCTTATCCAATGCATAAGATCGGTCTTTGATCGCGTTTGATGGGTTAGTAACAAATGTAAATTACAAATCACAAGTTAGCTACTTCTAGGTTTCCCTCAAATCCAACTAAGTTTTCCCCATGGATCCATCAATAAATGAGAGAATGGAAAAGCCTTTCTAAGCTGCAGCCCAGGAGGCAGGTCTGTAGCTGCGGAAAAGAACTGCTCATGGACTCCCGAAAGAAAACATGGATCATGGGCGTCCCATGAGCAGGCTGAGAAATGAAGTATTCAGTTGGAAAAACAATCTTTAATATCAACTACACTCATGATCTATCTAGACATCCACGAGTTGGAAGTTTCATCTTGTGCATTTGCAATCTTAAAAGAGAAAAAAAAAGTTAATGAGAAGGTACATCCATAGATAAGCAGAAGTTGTTTTTTTTAAATAAACAAGCATCTCCAGAAGTTGTAGTAATACTTGTGAGCCAGGAAAAGTGTGTGCACCAATCCAAACAGAGAGCATGTAAACAAAATACACAAATGCCAAACCGATAACGTAATGAGACCACACAAAGTTTTTTTTAGGGTGAAATTTGTTATTGTCAAAGAAAAAAAATGTAGAGCAGGACAGAGCCAAACTGAAACAAATATCCCATGAAGAAATCAGTAAAGTTACTCGAAGGGACACCAAGATATAAACCCCTTTCAGTACAACAAAGCCAGAAACCCAACTAGAAAATGCAAAGGCAATATAAAGGGATGCGAAGGGGATGAAGGGGGAATCCATGGATTCTGGGCTTCTGTCTCCACGGAAGACTTGAGAAGACTTCCGCTCTCATCTTTTCCTAAAAGACACAGGTCATAGGCGTTAGAACAAACAGAAGAAAATACCCGATTTCCCAGGTCTCACCGACCGACCAAATGTAAATAAAAATTCCCAGTGCAGATGACTTCCAAACAAGACAGCTAAGGAGGGAGAGCATGGGGACCTTTTAAGAGGGTTGAAGGGGGGTAAGGGAGAGGCAGAGAGGGGAGCAGAGAAAAATGTAGAACTCAATAAAAATAAAAAAATAAAAGACTTCTTAAGAAGATAGATGGCGAGATAAGGAATTAACAAAACATGTCCCTCTTATTAACCACCTCAAGAGCAGTCTGCCGGCGGGATTCAACTCAGGATTGAGGAAAGAAGTTGTCCTCAGTCTGACGTTTTCTAAGTTTAAACTCTTGCTTATCTATTTCTATGCAAATTATTTTTAGTCTCACTATATTACACAGATTAGCTTCGAACTTTCTGTGTAGCCTAGGCTGGTTTTCAACCCACGGTTTTCTGCTTCGGGCTCAGAATTTTGAGCGCTAAGATTACAGGCATGCAACACCATACCTGAGTAAATAAATTTTATTTTTGAGGATAGATAACAGACAATGTGCATAGCATGGAGCTATGTGATGTTGAAATGCATATGTACATCGTGTGACATTCATATTGAACCTTAGCATTTCTCTATGTTAGAAGCATGCAAAATCCTTTCTTCTAGTATTTTGAAACATCAAAACTTCTTATTCATATCTAACTAGAACTGAACGCCCATTGATCAACTTCTATCCCTAATCCAACGTGCATACTTTCAACCTCTGGTAACCGTGATTCTACATTCAGCTTCTGTGAGATTAACATTTTTAAATTCTGCACATGAATGAGGTCCTACAGGATCTATCTGTTTGTATCTGGCTTGTCTGACTTAACCCGATAATGTTGATTTCTATTCATGTTGCTGCAAATGACAACCAGTCACAGTGATAAAGTGGGACTCATGCCGGGGATGTAAGGAAGGATGAGTTCACAAAGCTAGGGAACGTGATGCAACAGATCGAGAGAATGGAATGCAAAAGGCAAAGAAATAAAGGCCTGATTGCCGGGGTAGATGCAGGTAAAGGCGTTTGAGGAACTCCAACACCCCTTTGTGATAAATACGTTGGACAAGTTAGATACAAAGAGAGTGCACTATAACAGAACCAAGCCTTATACAAGGCAACAGCCAACATAATAACACATGAAGAAAAACTAAAAGCTTCCTCTCTAAAATCTTGAATGATATACAGACACCAACTTTTATTCTTTTTATTAAACATAGCACTGGAAGTTCTCACCAGAGCAATTAGACAAGAAAAAAAAACAAATAAAGAACATCAGTATTAGAAAACAAGCCAAATTGTCACCATGTGCAAAGGGTAGGATCTTATAACCAGAACCCCTCGGGCTGGAGAGACGGCTTGGCAAGTATCAGTGCTTACCTCGCAACCTGATGACCAAGACTGGACCCCTGGTTCCCATAGTGGAAAAGGAATGACGCTCAGGAGCTGTTTTCTGACCTCTCCACAGAAGCGGTGACACACGCGATCCTACACATGTGAATCACACGAAATATTATTATGATCATTATCATTGCTATAATAATAAAAACCTCAAAGGCTCTACCGAAAACCCACTGGAATCCATGAGTAAATTCAGTAAAATTTCAAGGAATGGAATAATATGCAAAACTTAAGTTCTATGCCAACACTGAAGTATCTGAGATAGAATTTAAAATACTATGCCTAGGCTAGCTTATACAAAAAAGTCTATAAATAAATTTAACAAAGGATGAACTTGATTATAGATTAAAAGAGGACACAGGAAATGGAATGTCATGCTGTCTTCACAGGTTCAGAGAAAGAATATTGTTAAAATGTCCGCACTACCAACAGTGCTATACAGGTTTGATGAGAAACTCACCAAAATACTGGTACTATCGTTTATAGAAATAGAAAAAAAGAATCCTAAAATGTTCATGGAACTAAATCATTAAAAAATAAACACAAAAGAGCATATCAGGAGGCATTATATTATCTGGCTTCCAAATATACTACAAATCTGTAGTGCTACACTGCCAAAAATGAGACACGGAGGCCAGTAGAACAAAAAATATAAACCTATACATTTACGGAAAACTGATTTTCAAATAGATGCTAAAGAGATACACTGGAGAAAGAATATTTTCAGGGAATGATATTGGGAAATTAAACATTCACAAGCAAAAGAATGTGTGTGTGTGCAAGAAATGAAATCAGACCCTCCAAGAAGAAATCACTGCTCCCCAAGTTTATTCTACACTCTTTGCATAACTAAAAAAAGTGGAAACAAACTAGGTTGGGGGCCGCGGACCACCGGACCCTGAATTTCTAGTAAACAACTTGTTTTCCTCTGCTCTGAGCGGCCTGCAGCTGCTCTGAGCACAAGACCCTGAGGGCAGGGGAATGGTTTCTCATGAGTCTGCCATGAGTCTGCCACTGAACAATCCTGAGAGCTGGGGTGTGGCCAGGGCACTGTGTACACTGCCCCTGAACACAATAAAGAGAACATTCTTGGGAAATTCAAGCATGACCCATGTCTCTGTCTCTGTGTGTATGTGTGTGTCGATCTCCAGGCCCTTGCCAGCTGGCGAAAGGTCCTTCCATGCAGGCGGTATGCTACAGGCATAGAGTTGTAGTACACGTAGTACAGGCGCTACAGGACCGTAGCACACCTAGTAGCACAGAAGCGACAAAGCTCAGTATCTAACAACTGACAAATGGATAAAGAAATGATGGTGGCTATGCCCTATGGAACACTGTTCCACCAACATGATATCTAACCTTGGATCGGGCATCTGCATCAAGATTAAAGATGAACTATCTAGGACGTTAGGATTTTGCAGTCTTGGCTAAGCTGGGTCACTTCCCAGTGGCTTGGGAAACGTGAGCGAAATACTAAGAAACGCTGAAAATTTGTCAAGATTTTCTTAAGCGTTCTTTTTGAGAGTTTCTATTGTTGAACAAATACTTAGGAATTACATGATATGCTGTATTTGATTTAAAATACTCAAGAAGAAAAAATTAAGAATGGTGAGAGATGTGACAAAAGAGAAAGCAATTTTTCATAAAATGGGAGCACCATTTGCTATTTACTTTAGCTTTTATGTATTGGAACATTGACATAATAAGAATAAATATTCATCGAGGAAAATGTATAGCAATGTAAAAGCCGTGGAAATAAAGACGTCTTCACAAAGCCCGTACTAATAGTTTACACCACGTTCACGCCACACACTCACTCACTCGAAGACTAGTTTTTCTGTGATGAAGAGGTTTTCTCACAGAAAGAAAATAGCCCTGTGAACTCAGCAAAAGATTTCTTGGATGGCCAAGTACTAATGGCAGTCCCTGATGAGCCAGAGTTATCTATACTCTTTTGAAAAGTGACCAAATAGAAAAATCAAGTGTAAGTGATTGAAACTTATTTCTCTAGTGAACTGACCAAACTTACAGGGTTAAAAAAAAATGCCACAAAGCCCTTCCCAATCCTCCTCAGGTGGGAAGAACAATGATATATGATCTTTAATGCATTGCAGAGTAGAACAATTACTCAGTATGGAAAGATACATACAAGAAATAAAACTTTTTAATAACTTAATTCTATAAAAAGGTTAAGAATAACTGTGAGCCATTCATCCTGAGAACCAGTGTGCCTCACTGCTGTGGCTAAAGAGAAAGCCAGGGCTCACACCACTAGAGAACATTTTCTACAACTACCATGTTTCGAGATCATTCCAGTGAAGCAAAACAGAGAGCTTTCTGGCTACCACAACTGAAGGACCCCTCAACCAGGCAAGATGGAAACTAGTCAACAACACATACTCTCATTAAGTGGTTGAGTACATTGTGAAAAACAGCGCAGGTCAAATCATTTAAACTTTTCTGCTTAAAAACATAAAACTTGAGAGGCGTAGTATGGCAAATGCCTTGTGAACAAAAGCATTAAAGTGGATGGATGGCTTCATTCACCATTTCCTAGAGCTAAGGTCTGTTCCTTGAAGTGGGTCAGTTTCTGCTCTCCAACAAATACAATTAGC